TATAATCCTATAGCCACCTAATTTTAGGAGTACTGCTGTGAGGACTATTGACCTGGCAATGGGTGCCTCTATGTGGGCTTTTGGGAGTCCTAAGTGGAGTCCATAGAGAGATATTTTTAGTATAAATGCTATGATGCACGCTATTCATAAAAGGCTATTAAACCAGGAAATTGCTAGTTCTTGAAGCTGGGTATTGGTCTTAAGGTGGTCTCAAGAGTGCTGATAAATATATAAAGCATTAGCATTTGAATAAATGAAGTTTCAAATTTGGGTCTTCTGTATATTAGCTGTAGGACACTGAAAATGAATTTGTCATTCTCTGAACTCGGTTTTTATTTATTTATTTATTTATTTATTTATTTTTGAGACAGATTCTTGCTCTGTAGCTCTGGCGGGAGTGCAGTGGTGTGATCTCAGCTCGCTGCAACCTCCATCTCCCGGGTTCCCGTTTAAGCAATTCTCCTGCCTCAGGCCCCCAAGTAGCTGGCATTACAGGCATGTGCCACCATACCCAGCTAATTTTTGTATTTTCAGTAGAGAAGAGGTTTCACCACATTGGCCAGGCTGGTCTTGAACTCCTGACCTTGTGATCCACCTGCCTCAGCCTCCCAAAGTGTTGAAATTACAGGTGTGAGCCACCACACATCGCTGTTTGTTTAAAATAGAGTAAATAGACCTGCTGAATATGTTGAGGTGAGGATTAATTGTAATCTGTGCAGCAATTGTCTGACTATTGCCTTGAACATCACAGATCATCTGAGTGGCGAATATAATCATCATCATGTTTATATGTAAAATTCAGAAATATCTGAAGCCTGTGTGGCTGAATAAAAGCATACAAATACAATGAAAATATCATTTTAAGTGAGGCTTAGTAAATGGACGAAATAGTTGCTGCATTTGCTATTATCTATACCTACTTTCCTAGCTCTCAAAAGTCTATGGCCCTGTGTTCACTCTGTATTTTGGCCTGGAACGCATGGTGGTGCTGCATGGATATGAAGCGGTGAAGGAAGCCCTGATTGATCTTGGAGAGGAGTTTTCTGGAAGAGGCCATTTCCCACTGTTTGAAAGAGCTAACAGAAGATTTGGTAGGTGTGCATGTGTCTGTTTCAGTGTCCATCTTGGGGATGGGGAGGATAAGAAAATAGAGACTTGCAGAGCTTCTCAGGCAGAGCTTGGCCCATCCACGTGGCTGCCCAGTGTTAGCTTCCTCTTTCTTGCCTGGGATCTCCCTCCTAGTTTCTGTTTCTCTTCTTGTTAGGAATCGTTTTCAGCAATGGAACAAGATGGAAGGAGATCCGGCGTTTCTCCCTCATGACGCTGCGGAATTTTGGCATGGGGAAGAGGAGCATTGAGGATCGTGTTCAAGAGGAAGCTCGCTGCCTTGTGGAGGAGTTGAGAAAAACCAAAGGTGGGTGAACCTGCTCTGTATCACTGACCTTACTGGACTACTATTTTCTCTACTGACATTCTTGGAAACATTTCAGGGGTGGCCATATCTTTCATTATGAGTCCTAGTTGTTAGCTCATGTGAAGTGGGAGTTTGAGGCTGAGAGCCAAGGGAATTTGCACATATTT